GTATATATATATTTTTTTGTAATTAAGTAGTTTAGTGGCTAAAATCCACCTTATTAAAGATAAATGAATAGGATGTCGTAGATTTCAAAGCTGTATCCTACATCTGATATTCCTATATAGAGACGAACTGATGTTTCTTAATGAGATTAAATTCAATTTATATTATACATTATTATTATTATAAATTTTTTTTATAACGTTAATAAATCACAATCACAATCGTTAAACTTTATCTACATATAAAATAATATTTGTAGAATATTTTGATGTGTTAATAATGTAAATTTTTATAGCGACGATTAATAATAATTAAAGTCATGATTTTTAGTGTATGAAATTAAAAAGAATTCTAAAGAAGGAGTATTAAATACTAGAAAAATTCTTTTTGAAACATTTTACTAGTTGGGCCACTTTCAACTAGCCCATTCCCCAAGAATTCTACCGGTCACTCCTAAAATTAAATCTCACACCACCTAATTTGTATGAAAAGACTAAAGTATTCCTAATTTTCCCCCAAAATTTCAAATTTGCGGTTCAGAAGCGGGTTTTTCAAATTTTAGGGGCGATACTGAAAATTTCAAAAAAAATAACTTTTTACCAGAAATTCCATTATTTACGGTATTTTTTACCTGAAATTTCATAAATTTTAGTAGTTTTAACTTGAAAATTTAAAATTTCTGGTGCACACTACAATATTTTTATCGAAAATTTCAAAATTTCCGATAGTTTACAAAAACTAGGTTTGTACCGGTATTTTTAAAAATTTTGTTTTGTACCGAAAATTTTAAAATTTCTGGTAGTTATAAAAATTTAGTTTCATACCGGAAATTTCAAATTTATTCGGTAGTTGTTGCCATTGTTTTTTTTTCTAATATTTATTTTTTCCTTCTTTTGCAGTGAAATCTAGAGGCAAAAACAAAATTATCGCAGGGAGAGCTACGGATCGAGAATCAGACTAGGGTAGGGCTATCAGTGGTGTTGATGTTGAGTCTTTTCAACTACGAACAGGACGGGTGGACCCCACCGGTTCACACCAAAAGTGGATGGCGGAGCGAGTCAGTTATGGGCACCTCGTGCCACTCGATGTCGTGGAGATTGATCAGTAGTGCAGGATACAAATGAGGTGCTGACAGTTGATCCATCGATGAATTGGTGGTTGAACTGGTAGTTGAGCCGGTGGTTACTCAGGTAGTTGAGGCGGTGGTTGTTCAGGAGGTTGTTGAGGAGTATGCTCAATAGGCTGTTGAGGAGGTACAACCAGATGTTGTTGTTGGTGAGTCGAGCCCATTGGTCATAGTTGACACGAAGGTTACAACTTCTTTGACTGAGCCGTCTATGCATATGGATGAAGGATTTCCAGGAGGACCCATCGACCGGTTTGCGCTTATAAAGTATGGTGAACATGTGGCCTTACGATTATGGCAGGGGCGAGGTATATGTCTTTTACGTTTAATTTTGATTTTTGTTTATGTTTAATTAAGTATCAACTAATCTGTTTATATTTTGTTGTCAAAGGATCGACCCACACTGGAGGTCACATATCACGGGTCGAAGATGAAGGACTTCCCGAAAATTCCGATGCTTGTGTAGGTCAGTCGGATTATTCGGGACTTCCAATTGCTTGATTTTGCCCACTACTCACTCACTATGCTGGACGCTCAATTGCTTAGTGCCTTTGTTGAGAGATGGCACAAGGAGACATCATCATTTCATCTTCCATTCGGGGAGATGACTATCACTCTGGATGATGTCGCCGCGTTGTTCCATCTCCTTATCGGCGACAAATTCTGGACAACTCCGATTCTTTGTGTGACCACTGCTTGTCAGGTTGTGTCACATGATTTGAGTTTGACTAAGGTAGAGGTGCTGAAGGAGTTCGGGAAGACTAAGGGTGCGCACATTTGTATGCATTGGCTTCAAAAGAAGTATGATCAACTTGTAGTTGCAGGGAGGTATGAGGCTGCTAGTAGGGTGTACATGCTACATACAATAGCATGTACTCTCTTTGAGGACAAGTCTGGTGTTTATGTTAATGTCCGATACTTGTGCCTCTTCAGTAGCCTCGAGGATACCAGTTGGGCTTAAGAGTGTGCTGCACTGACTTAGTTGTATACAACCCTTGGAGTGGCGACGATATTTGAGACCAGATAGTTTTCTGGGTATTTGAGACTGTTATAGGTATATTTGTTAATGGTTTTATATGTTATTGCTTTCATATTTATTTTTTACGAATATCATTTCTAAATTATTATTTGTTGTTTTTGTGTTATGATTTTAGTGCTAGATCTACGATCATTTCCCTATCATCTGTGGTAAAAGGGTGCATCATTGCGAGGTAGGGGCCCCACGGGCGAGAGGTGGAAGGCGAGGCAGGAACGTTATGATGGTGTAGCTGAGTATAGGAGGATGCTCGATGTGCTGACTATAGATGATGTCATATGGACATGATACGGTGCTCATAGAGTTCACAGTGAGTTCGAAGAGTCCTCATTATATTCAGGTTATATGCGATGGGAGATCTTGGTTGCTAGACACTTTCCTGAGAGGTGTCTGTGACAATATGACTATGTTCAGAGTATCCCACGACTAGTTTTAGATATACCATCTGCAGGTATTGATTGGTGGTTTTAGAGTAACTTCATCAACTTCGGTCATGCCATCAGAGATTGAACGCTCATTAATCAATACCCATCGCAGTGTGAGGATGGTTAATTGGAGTGGTACCTCACTGTATCACACCCCCGAATCACCCTACCTCCAGTTGTGATGGACCTTCTGATGATGGGACACTTGTTGATGACGTGACGTCGCCGTGATTATGGATAACCTCAAGGGTTTAGGAAACCCATATGGTGACGCTTATACAGGATTAGCTCGTGCTGCACACATAACCCGCGAGAGCCTATTATTTGTATTATATATATATATATATATATATATATATATATATATATATATATATATATATATATATATATATATATATATATATATATATATATATATATATATATATATATATATATATATATATATATATATATATATATATATATATATATATATATATATATATATATATTATTCAAATATCTTTATCATAACACTTTATTAGCTAATATTAGTGATCTTCCTTAAATTGCAGTGTGGACGTTAACTAACAACTGACAATGGTTTTCACAACTTAAACAAAAAACACTTAACATTGTAATATGATTAATAAATAAGAAAAACCTAAACACTATCAGACACTTTAGGACGTTTCAACATCTCCATTACGTTGTCAACGAATCTTGACAACTTCGCATCTAACTCGAACGACCCCTTTGTTATCCTATAATGAAATGATCTCCATATTTCCTTCACATCTTCGTCGGTCTTAAACTCAATAAGGTTGTATTTCACCATCCCGTTTGTATCAACACAATATTCACGAAACCCGATCTTTCTCACCTTTCTATTGTCACCATCAAGCAAAAATTCATTCAACTTCGACGTAAAGCCGACAAAAGAGGTGGTGCCATTAGGAAGCTTGAACTCTATAGGAGGAGAAACTTCATTGAAGCGAACTTCTGTCTTAATCAAAAATTGAGAAAAATGCATTTTTTGAAATGTGTTTATCAACAAGAGTTGACCCTTATTTATACAACTTTTAATCTATTATGGACCGCACAAACTGTCGGTGCAATCACAACTGCATAATACTATTGACAAAAATCCTAATTATTCAAAAAAAACTCTAAAAATGAATTTACTGAAAATTTCACTTAGAGTGATATTTTCAATATCAATACAGAAATTTCATATTTCTAAAATATTTTACACTTTATCGAAAATTTAAAATTTCTGATACACTTAAAATTTTAAACTGTATCAAAAACTTAGTTATAACTACCAAAAATTTCAAACAAAAATTTGATGTATATTTCATCCGATAAAATTTTAATATTATAAAATATTGAGGGATATCAAGTTTAATTTTGGGGTGACATATAGAATTCTCCCATTCCCATTCGAGAAGGGAGCCCAATCCATATACTAATATGGTAAGGTTAAACCGATTCAAAATATAGAGTATAATAATCCTTACACGTGTTAACTTGCACGATACTTCATCATGAAAAAACGGCTGACGATGGCGGCCGTTAGATCCCACAAGTAATCTCACGCGGCGCAACACTATAGGCCCAACTTTTGATGGGTCCCATTCCTTTATCCATCTCACTTCTCGTCCCTTCCAAAAGTTCGTGAATCGTGATTCGTGACGACAATTCTCATTTATGACACTTTAATTTCAATTTAATTAATTTTTTAGACAGTTTCTTTTTTTACTAAACTCATCGCCTCTTCGCTCTCTTCTTTCTAATCCCATATATAAAGTTGAAATCTCAACCACGAACCAAGCTTTTCGCTTCAGTTTGTTCCCGCACTCTCACTTTTCTCTCTTTACCTTTCATCCAAAACCAAACCCTAACACTTTCCAATCTCCTTCACTGCAGACTTCACTGTTCTTCACCAATCTCAGATCTGTTACTAAATTACTCGATTCATATCGCTTTGAGGTTTTCTTTCAATTTTCTGTCAATTTTATGGATTAAACATGTTTGGATTTGAGTTTTTCGATTTTGTTTTGGTTTTTGGTGTAGGTTTGAAATAATTCTGGTGTGTCTATTTTTTTTCTATCTCCAAATTGATTGAATTAAACGGTTAGGCGGTTATTTTCAATTCAAATGTTCATTTTGGAAGTTCTATTGGACAGGTGGATTGGATTATTATTTGTTTTGTTTGTTTTTATTTCCATTTCTGTGTTTTTCTCGTGTTTGTTGATTCGAATTCATCAAAAACTGTTTCTAATTCCGGATTTCATGTTCAGGACTTGATTGGATATGAGTTTCGAGTGAAACTCTTGGGAAAATTCAAGTCTAGCATTGGTTAATTCGTGGATGCTGTGTGGTAGCTTTGCTTTTCTGGTAGTTATTGTGTGCTGTTTTTAGATTTTGATGGGAGAAGAAGCTGTTTGTTTGCAAGCATTGGAAGATGGAATGACAGAAATTACCGAGGTTCCGAAGGTGGAACTGAAACGTGAGTATCACCAATGTGTTGCCGATACTGAACTACCCAACGTTTCTCCGAATAAAAAACAAGCCAAAGAGGTTTCTAATGATGAAGTGCGTTCTGAAGTTTCGAATCCCAATGTTTTTGCAACAGAACACGCACTAACCTTTCATGATATCAGTAGCCAACCCACAGAAATGGCAAACGTCAACCATGCAGAATGTGGTGAACTGACGTCTACTTGTTTGGAGAATTCTAGTTCTCATGACACTTTTAGCGATGAGGCCGTTGATAAGAATAACGATAATAACAATAATACTTCTCTGTATGATAAAAGTACTAGTAGTAAGGATGCGGTGATGTCCCGTGTTGTGATGGAAATCCCTAAGCATGTTAGTTCAACTGGGATTAGAAAAATTACTTTTAAGTTCAGTAAAAAGAAGGAGGACTATGATGGTCAAACACCTGCTGGCTATACTGATGGCTATGGCAATGGCTATCATGGGGATGATGAATATTTGGCAAAGGATGATTATAATAGTGGCTTGTTAGAGAGCTCATATGGCACGCGATATGTTCCTGATGGATATTTGGAATCGTATTCTCGTAATATGGAATTGAAAATGTCAAAGAAAGTAGTCCCTAACTGCTTCCCCACAAATGTCAAAAAGCTCTTATCAACGGGTATCCTTGATGGAGCTGCAGTGAAATATATTTACAACCCTGGAAAGGTAAAGCACGAATTATCTTAGTCCGTGTTTTCAACACTTCTGCTTGGTTTCTTATATTTTGAAATTGTTGCCAGGTTGAGCTGGAAGGGATTATTGGTAGCGGTGGATATTTGTGTGGCTGTTCAATGTGCAGTTACTCTAGAGTAAGACAAATATGACTTATTTAGCTTTATAATTGGACTTTTTTATTTGTATTTCCCGGACAGCTAATGTAATGTTTTCTCAGGTGCTCAGTGCCTATGAGTTCGAGCAGCATGCCGGTGCTAAGACTAGACATCCAAATAATCACATATTCCTAGAAAATGGAAAACCAATTTATAGCATTATACATGAAATAAAAACTGCTCCAAACAGCATGCCAGATGAGATTATAAAGAATGTGGCCGGTGCATCTATCAACGAGGAAACCTTCCAGGTTTGGAAAGGTGACAATTATTTCTTTTGTTTATTATTGCATCATGGGGCCTATAGGTTTTAGGTTCATGTTGGTCAACTAATGCGGGAGAAGTGTGCTAATATTCGTGGTTTAGGTTTTTGGCCGGCATGTTATTGGTAGTCTTGAAAGCTTTATAATTTTAAATAAGCCCTGATTTGAAACTAATGTTCAACTATCCAGCTTTAAAACATTTTACATAAGTCCTGATTTGGAACTAATGCTCAACTATCTGAATACTAAATTTGAACCAGTTATTGTTTTCATGTAACATATATATCTAAGTTTGTGTGTCTGTATAGTGCACTTTTTAAGAGTAAGCCTATTGTGAGTGTAAGGCAAAAAAACTACCTGCAATATTAAACTCTTCTTGAAACTAATGCTCAATATTTATTTAAGTAGCTTCTCAAAATAATTATGATTTGTTTTTTCTTCCTAGTTTAAACAATTATTTTAAAAAAATTGTTTCGTCATAGTGTGAGTCACATTCTTTTAAAAAACTCAAATAAATAAACCCACTCTCAACTGTGATAGTCATCTGGTCTATCATCAAGGAGAGTATTATTGACAATCTCCAACACGTTCCAAAAGCTCAAGTTGCTAGGTGAAAGATTTTGAATGCTTTTATATCTAACAATTATCATTTCACAGTATCCATGAATGGAAAGTAATAGAAATATGAAACAGAGTAGCCTATGCATGTTGTTTACTGTATAACTTGTATTGGTAGACATATTAGTCATATTGGATGCAGACTACATATTAAATAGTAAGAGGTGTTTCTTTTGCTTTGCTTTTGAACTTGGATATTTCTTATATATGTTTATATTTTTTCCACGGGTTCTGCAGAAAGTCTTCTAGAAAGCAACAGGAAGGTTCCTGCTCATAAAAATTACATTACAAAGTTTACTGGCATGCCTCATACAAACAACAGGTAAACCAGAATAAACCCAAAAGTTAAAAAAAAATCTCATAATATTCAGGCTGTTCCTTAAACCAAATGATGACCTCTACCTCTACTCATTTATTACTCTTTCCATGTCATATTAAGATATTATGTGTTGTTTAAGGTTAAGTACACTTCTTAAAAAAAATCATTGAGTGTACTAATTTTTATGATAAAATGACAGTCACCAAACTACCCTTTTAATAAAGTAGTTAGTGGTGTCGTTAGGTATAGTGAGGTACCATAAATAAAGGGTATTAGTGAAAAAGGTAACCAGTGTCTCATTGATATTCTAAAATGACAAATAAAGAGACAAATGAATATTTCTAAATGTAACGTTTATTGTGAGATGGAAGAAATATAGATTAGTTATGAATTATTTGTAACTCGTACCTACCTCCCATTGTGAATCATATCATTGATGTTTTCTTCTCTCTCGCTAATGAACCATGTCACGCTGCATAACATTTCCTTGCCTATGGTGCACACCAGCCTAATATTCAAATCTCATTTTCATCCTTTAAAAATTTATTTAGGTTTCCTAAATTTTCCCGTGATTTAAATTTTCCATATTTTGTTTTTGGCGGATATCGAGAAGTCTTAGTTCTTGTTGCCTGGAAATTTCCGTTAATAATCAGTCCAATATCATCTGCGTTAGTTTTAGTTCTCCTACGCCTCCATCACCTGCCTTTCTAAGTCATGTTTAATGAGTCCCATATTATATTTCCCTTTTTAAGTGTTTGGAATTTGTAACAACTAACAAGCTTAATGCTTAGCGAGCTTTAGCTTTATGGGGGTAGTAGAATAAATGAAGACATCTCATAATACTTGGTTGTAAGTATTATGATTCGGACTGTTTTTTTTTTTTGGTTATATTTCGTGATTTGTTTTCTAATTTAATTTGGGTTACAATTTTATTAAGTATTATAAATAGTTTCCTTATTTAATTAGGATTATAAGTCTGTGATTAATATAATTAAGGGTTAGTGGCTCGTGCTTATTCATTTGTATAAAACCATAACATATTCTCAGTAAATTTTCTCTCTCATCTCTTGTTCTTTATTGAAAGTCCAACATGTAAAACCAATTCATTTAGTTATAGGCAACCTTCATTGTCAGAAGTAGTTTTTGCTGTCAATATTTTTAAACAGTATCAAAACTTTATGACAAATGTCAATGTGTTGAAGATTAACCACTTAGTTATTTCTATGTTCCACGGACCCCCTTAGGAAAGAGTTACACCAGAGGCTGTTTCTGTGATGCCTTTAGCACTAAGTCGTGTGAAATGGTCTATCTGCCTGTGCTTTGAGAAAAAAGCCTAACTTCCAGAATTATTTGCTTGCATGATTAGTCTTAGAGTTTTCAGTTGCCAGTGCTTTGAGGATTGAAGACTTAACTTTTGCTAAATTGAAATTAATTAGTATTTGTTCTTTTACTTCTAGCATTTCAGAAAACTCTGGATTCTGTCTTGTTCTATCAAATTTTATACTTTAAAAACTCTTCTCTTATGTAAACAAAATTTACCTGACTATTAAACGAAAAAGAGATAACACGACTTCTTACCTATTTTATTTTGATGTTGCAGTCAATCTATAGAAAGTGAAAGCCATTTCTTATCTTCGCGTGCACGGAATCATTTTGAACAACAAATGTATGTGAACCAGACATCGGATGAGTGGAAACGTGTTGTGAAGAAGTGTGTTCTCCCTCTTGGTTTAATTGCTAGTACTTGATATTTGTTTGTTGAGCATGTGCTTGGGCTGCCTGCATATGTAGAAGTTTATCCGTTCAATTAAATTGTTGTCTTTCTTCTAGTATATTCACGACAAACCTTTTTCTGCAGGCCAAGCACCTACACTCACACCTCAGGTATACTGCAGAAGAGAAGTACTGATGGTTGCACTAAGAAAAGGTACATTTTGTTTTGCTTTGTATTTTTTCCAGTTGAGGATTCTTCTGGTGTTTTTCTGTCTCTCTAGCATCTCCATGTGAATTGAAATATTTTTGCTAATGTAGTTTGAAATTTGAATTAAAAATTTCTTTTTTCAGGGACAATGATTTGCACAGGTTACTTTTTCTGCCTAATGGCCTACCAGATGGTGCTGAGTTGGCTTACTATGTCAAAGGACAGGTGTCTTGATATTTTCTCTTAATATTTTGTGTTTATGGTTTGATCTGCACTTTATTTTTTATTTTTTAAAATATGTGACTTGACTGATGTGCGTTTCAGAGATTACTTGGAGGTTACAAACAAGGAAGTGGTATAGTCTGCAGTTGTTGTGATATAGAGGTATTGTCCTATACCTATTGGCACCAACTTCCTTATTTTCATACAAGTGCAAATGATATGATAATTATTATGATTTTTGTTCATGGGTAAACAGATAAGCCCTTCACAGTTTGAAGCCCATGCTGGAATGGCAGCTAGACGTCAACCGTGAGTAGACTGAAATAACTAAATTGACATGTCTATTTTCTTCATCTCAAAATGACTTTTATCCTTTTGCAGTTATCGCCACATATATACTTCCAACGGATTAACGCTTCATGATATAGCTCTCTCTTTGGCAAATGGTCAAAACCTTACTACGGGAGATAGTGATGATATGTGTGCAATATGTGGAGATGGAGGAGATTTGGTTCTTTGCAATGGATGTCCTAGGGCCTTTCATGCAGGTGGACAAATTACCTTTTAAATTTAAAATATTATGTATTTGTTAATACTGTTTTTATTTGACTGTTTTTCTTATCAACTAATCTTAATATTATAATATATTTAACATCAAGTTAGCATATATATAATTTCTTGTATTCCAACGATATCAGTTTCTCAATTTTTCTTCATACCACTTAAAGAAGTCTTGTGTTATCCAGTGCTTCGTTAGATAATGACATGTCATTTCTTGCTACCTTATTTTGTTGGTACCCATATCAAGATGTTATAATATTTTGGTACTTTCTATTTCAATTGCAGCCTGCTTGGGTTTACACACTGTACCCGCTAGTGGTTGGCATTGTCTAAATTGTAAAGATAACGCTGATGATGAAAGAGGTGTGAGACCCATCATGATACGGTTGACACGAGTTGATAAAGAACCAGAATATGAAATGGGTGGATGCGTTGTTTGCAGGTAGGCAATACAATTGTTTGTTTATCTTAAAATATATCAAAGCAATCACATTTTCACAACCGTATGGAGAAGCAGTTGGGAAAGGATGTGCACTTTAACTTTCAATTAGTATTATGGTAATGCTCTTAGTGGATCATGATGTTTGTCATAAAATCAAGGGTTCAGTAGCATATAACCTTAAAAGTTCAATGCAATGCATGTCATGAAAGGTATTTCTCATGGTAAGACGAGTGAAGATTTGTGGCAGTAATCCGTTGAATTGTGAAATAGTATTTTTTTGTCTTTTCTGCTAAAATCAGTTTAGTTTGGTTTCTTACTTGGCACTGTTATTGTATACATGCATATTAGTTATTTGTCATATTCTTCCACCAATTTTTTTTTTTTTTTTGGGAATTGTGCTGGAACTTTAATCTGTTATATCTGCAACTTTTGCGAACCAGCATTAATCTTTATTTTTGTACATATTGATGTATTAATTTATTTGATTGGTCAATAGGGAAAATGATTTCAGTGTTGATAAATTTGATGACCGAACAGTAATAATTTGTGATCAGGTATGGTCATTACCTGATGAAAGTTGTCTATAACTATTTCTTTCTTTTGTCAAACTGTAAGTATATTTTGTTTGTTGTCCAGTGTGAGAAGGAGTATCATGTTGGTTGTTTGCGGGACATTGGGCTATGCGAGTTGGAAGTAAGCACAGATCCTTGCAGAAAATATTTGTCTGATAGTTGTCTTTTCTGTTTTTCATTTTTTATCATCACATTATTTTTACTATAGGAGCTTCCCAAAGAAAAGTGGTTTTGTTGTGAAGACTGTAGTCGAATATATGTGGCTCTACAGACTTCAGTTTCTGCTGGAGCAGATACTATACCCACTCCCTTGTCTGAACTAATAATCAGGAAGCACAAGGAGAGGGGGTTGTGTACATATGGATTCATGAATGATATTCAGTGGAGAATTTTAAGTGGAAAAAGTCGTTATCCAGAGCATTTACCGTTGCTTTCACGAGCTGCTGCAATTTTTCGAGTGAGTGTTTTATTGCTTCTCTTTTACTTATGACTTTGATTCTGCTGTTTATATTCTTATATTTTTTTCTCAGAAAATCTGTTTTCTGGGTTTTGTTACATGATACTTCCTCGGTCCTTTATTATAAGACCCACTTTTTAGATTTCCTGGTCCCTTAATATAATACTAGTATTTTATAAAATTTGACTTACAATAGTAATTTCTTTTCAAAAATATTAATATTTTAATATAAGGTGGCTTTTCAACTAGTGTTATCAAATAGCTGCTATAACGTAGCGGATTTTGTACAAACCACCTTTGTTCTTCGATATGCAATTTAGTGCTAAGTGTAGTCAACTAATGGCTATAGCGTAGCAGAATTTGAACAAACCACTATTGTTCTTTGATACGCAATTTAGTGCCAAGTGTCGTCAACTAACAGCTATAGCGTAGCGGAGTTTGAACAAACCACTATTGTTCTTTGATACGCAATTTAGTGCTAAGTGTCGTCAACTAACGGCTATAGCAGCATTATAACATTGTAGCATAGCGGGATTTGAACCAAGCACAAACTTCTTGATCCATGAGAGACAACATTGTTTTCAACACACCTTTCACACATAGAGGCTTGGAGCATGCACAATACCAATGACATAGCAAAAGATTTAAGACATACTCATACATGACAAAATCTGTTTGTAAAATGAAGACCATCCAATGAGGGATTAATACACCACCTTACACCCATTGAAAGCTGCCCAATGAGACCGCAATTAAGGCGGGTTTGCAACAGCAACGATTGAGTATTAATTTTTTTTTTTTGGGGGTTTCTGGGATGAGGGTCTCTCTCGATAGTTTAGGTTTAAATTGTGGACTTGTTTTCGGGCAAGACTTTTAACTGTTGTGAAATATATACATCTCGAAACTTCCTTTCTAGTGTTCTCTATATTGTAACCGTATTTTGTTCTCAATTTGTTAATGCTTTGGCAGGAGTGTTTTGATCCCATTGTCGCAATATCTGGCCGTGACCTGATTCCTGTTATGGTCTATGGGTAAGCAACTAAAAATTATTTTAATGTTGGTTGACTGTGGTTGGTTCTCATCTATACAGTCTTCTTTTCCTGTAATGCCGGTTTCCGAGTGATTATTTATTGTACGTTGAATTATTAAGTCTTGCATTACTTACTCTAGATTATAGATTACCAACAGCATACTGTTGAAGCTACATGAATTATGATAAATAAGCATTCTTACCCCCTCTCTCCTACGTAATGATTGGTCACGGAAAAGCTATTTGATAGGCTCTCTGACCTACCTTTGTGTCAGAACATTTTTAGGGTGAATTAGTTTGCACCTTTTATCTGTCATTCACAAGAATTTATTTTAAAAATTTTATTCTGTTGGCATTTGAGTTTTATAACATACTATTTTATTTGCACCTTTGCAGGAGAAATATATCTGGCCAAGAATTCGGGGGAATGTATTGCATTGTTTTAATTGTGAAGTATGTGGCTTTCTCTGCTTTCTTATTTTCCTGATAGTTCTTAATTTTGGCGAAACTGACTTTGTATGTATCGTATTTGGCAGTTCTATTGTAGTATCTGCCGGGCTTCTCAGGATTTTTGGCCGCAATATTGCTGAGCTTCCCCTGGTAGCTACAAGTAGAGAGTATCAAGGAAAAGTAAGCAATTTTTTGTACATCACAAATGGCTCAAAATTGAAAAAGTAGATTAATAGGTGCATTCCATTCTATTAACACTATTTATATCTTCCAAAGATGATAGATTTTTTATTTATTTATTTTTTTACCAAGAATGAGCTCTATTAATGTGATTTTCCATTTTAGGGTTATTTTCAAGTGCTATTCTCTTGCATAGAGAGGTTGCTGTCTTCTCTAAATGTAGAAAAGCTGGTTCTCCCTGCTGCAGGGGATGCAGAGTCAATTTGGACTAAGAAATTAGGCTTTCACAAAATGAGTGAAGATCAGGTAAAAAAAATTCATCTTTTGCAGTTTTTGGTTAACCAAGTAAAGTAGATATCTTGAGCCCATTTGCTAAGAACCCAAGCTTTTGAATCAATTGATGCTATGCATGGAATCGCACCAGTCTTCATTTTCTCGCGTCCCAATGCCTTTTTCCGTGGTTTTTTCAATGCTACAAATTGTAGCTTGAAACTTATTTCAACAATTTGTCACAGCAAATATAAATTGATGCTGAATACTTGTGTGATTTTTCTTGCACTGGTTAAGAACTTAAGACTATAACTTCCATTGGTAATGGGCTTTATTTTGATACAGCTATTACTTTCGTACTTTAATGGTTTGCTGGTTTTGAGAAATTCTTTTATGTTGTTAGCCACAAATTTTGTAACTTTTGAAGGATAACGTTACTGACATGACATACTTGTAGAATGTTTATGGTGACCTAGGTTCAGAATTCAAAGAAACTATTGCAAGCATTAACAGTTATTTGATTGTTTTGGCCAGTTATCCAAACATCTTAGAGAGGTGCAGCTCACCCTCTTCAACAAAACTTCAGTGCTGGAGAAGACTGTGCAGCTTGCGACAGAATGATGGTTTATCTGATGTTGTAACTAAATTTTGGTTCAATTTTTTAAACCATTTCCCTCACTGTAACATTACTGCTATGTTCTTGCTCTTAGCTTTATTGTTTTTTCTTTTCCTATATTTTTTAATATTTTTTTTGGTATGGGTGGTTGTGGCAGCCAGCTATATCTTTCTTTTTTGTACAATGTAGGATAAAAGAGTAAGCTTAGATAATGGAGAACGTAGCCTAAAATGGTAGAGGATTTTGGAGAGCATGCTTACCCATTTTTATATTAGCATGTGTTTGCTATAGAAAAGTACTTGTATTGAATTTTGTTTTTCAAAGATCGTGTATCTTTGTTGTGATTTAAACGCCTGTGGTTCTTGGCTCTTTTTGGGTGTGTATAAGTTTACTTCAAATTAACTCTTTTGGGGTATATAAGCTTATAGCGGGAAAACAAAAGCACCTATTATAGCATTTAGTTGATAGATTTGAAATGCATTCAAATCATCTTAAAAGATTTGTTAGGTTAGCTATTTAGCTGTTTGATCTTAATTAGACGGCTCGAAAAAATGGATTTAGTTTCTATCATTTAAATTCGTAATTGAATCAGAACTGTCCAATTTAATTTATTATTTAATATATATCCACGTTTTTTTGCACGTTCATCTACATCAATAAATGCTAAAATATCTAAGATAGACTGTTAAGTAGGTTGTTAATTGATTAAGTGCTGAGATTCAAACTTTCTTATTTTGGCTTGACTGAATGATTAATAGGATTAATTGATTAAATTATTTAAAGGTTCACGGTTTATTTCTTTTTTGAGTCAAATTTTTCTTATATAAAAAGGAAGCTTCTCATTTCAAAACATGCTAGTTTTCTCAATAAAACCTTTATTATTCTTTCTACACTTTTTCGTAAAGTTATATTTTCACAAAAGTTGTCTTAATTTTAAGAGAGTGAAAATCTCTTGTGACAGTTGTATTAAAATTTTTTTGTTCAAAAACATAGAAGTTCTTGGATTAAGCATTGTCTAAAAGCTCTGAGGTATTATAGTATATCAAATGGTTTAGGCGGAATCAAGATAATTATTTGATTTCATCTTTCTATTCCTTATTTATTTTAATTTTCAACAGTTTATTTTTCAATAGTTTGTTTTATTTTTGAGGCTTTTTTTTACATTTTCGCTATTTTGTTTCTTTGTCTTTTTATTTATTCTAAGATGTGTTTTTAACAAATATATAGGATTCAAGATCTGTTATCAAAAATTTGGTTAAGTACTTGATTCTAGAGATACAAAAGATATTGATGATTTACAAGATAAATCAAATAAGAATAAAATTATAAAAAAGTTTAAAGAATTAATCCAATTTCTTAAAATGAAAATTCATACGCATACAAAGAATCTTCTAAAAGAATCATCAACGGAAGGATAATATAGAATATGAAACATCAAATGAAGAGTTTACCATCATAAGCATTATATAAAAAATATGCAACACCATACGAAGAATAAGTTGTTGAATCACCTAAATCATCATGTGAAGGATCATCCTAAATATCTCTTGAACATGGAATATCTTCTAAAGAATCAATAAAGAAATTAGATGAAGACGTAAACCTTTTCTTTAATACTACTTGTAAATATGACGATGAGGTAACTATTCTTTTCTTACAATCAAATATTTAATTTAAATATTAAAGTTAGAAACAAATATTTTAGCATAAAAATATACCGTTAAATCTCTTGAAAATAAAAATGATAGAATCAATGATAAAGTGAATGCTCTTAGAAAATAAGCTTTAAAATAAAATAGTCGTGAAATATGCAATTTATTAAGAAATGAAATTGAAAGCTCACATGAAATTTTGAGTAAATTTACTAAAGGCAAAAAGAATTTTGATATGGTTTTATCAAATTAAAGAGCTTTGTATAACGAATCGGTTTAGGTTATTAATCAGATAGTAATACTGAATATTTTATTAATCAGATAAAGTATATGTCATGCGTGTTGGAAATTTGGTGTAATAATCTTGGATATCTTCGAGGAATCGTGTTCGTACACTTTTCGAACAAAGTATTTCGACCCTATTATTTGCCTGAGTTCACGAAATCTTTGTGGGGATAATTTTTTGAAGAATAATCTGTTTCTGGCAATTTAAAACATATCAAGAATGTAGAGAGAATATGAATTTTGTTCAGTATCTAAAACTGAGGCCAAATGACTCATTATATAGGAGATTAATTAACAGAAAACGAAAAGGGACATCTGTTCAAAATTTTTGAACGGGTTCATCTTTTCAAATTTAATTTCGAACGGGTTCAAAACTTAACAGAAAACTATTAGAAAATTTTTGCAGCGGGACCCCAGCCAGGGGGCATGCCCCTTGGAACCCCACGGGGCGCTTCCCCGTACCCCGCCAGGGGCTTCGCCCCTTGGAACCCCAGCGGGGCGCTGCCCTGCACCCCGTCAGGGGCTTCGCCCCTTGGAACCCCAGCGGGGCGCTGCCCTGCACCCCGTCAGGGGCTCCGCCCCTTGGAACCCCTTTTCAATTATTCGCATTCAATTGTACGTTGGCTCGACGAGCGTGCACTCCACACTACCCTAACTCGTTTCCAAGCTTAACGTATAATTGCATCGGCCTACAGTGAATCACATTACTACTAAAATACATTGATGATACTAAAATCACCAACAATGCAAAAAAGAAAATGAGTCACTATGTTTTTTGTAACACCCTATATAATACACATATAAAAAAAATACACTATACATAATATTAATTAGTACTGATATAACACAAGTTCCTAACAACATCACAATATATACATGTCCAAAACAAAATATACAACTATGACACATGATATACATGGATGCCTAAACAAAAACTATGCACAATGTCCACAATTGCACATAATCCACAACGAAAAATAACGATAACAAAAATCTTCTAAACATCATCCAACAAGCTTTACCTTGTCTTAACCTGCAAAGAACTACTTGAAAAACAACAATAATAATGGGGTGAGATAATAATCTTAGTGAGTTCCCCTATCCTATGGACCCACTCGGCTCTAAAGGGATATCTTATCAATTCTTAGCTTAAGCTTTTCATCTTCATCCTTACTTGTGTAGAATTACACAATAGAATTAGGACTTAATCGTTTAAGAGAATTTACGCTTCGTATGAAAAACACACAACATGAGTTCACATTAACTCAATGAATCACTATCCGGGAATGCAAACTGTAACACAAGGGCGATTAGCCCAAAACTGATCACAAAGATCTACTAACTCATTCGTCAAATATGGTCAATGGAAATATAACCTCCACTGCACGAACTATGCTATCTACCAGATATGGTTAATAGATACCAGACATCCCTTGTATGGATTTCACCATTAATCAGATATTGTCGATGGAATCTAGATCTCCACTACGTAGATCACACTCTCCATTAAATATGGTCAATGGTAACCAGATCTCAACTGCATGGGTTACACTCCCGATCACATATGGTCAATGGACGCCGAACTTGCACTGAAAGGAATTCACCAAGCCCTTTCCACCATATATGGTTAATGGATACCATACATCCACTATATGGATTTTATCATCCAATAGATATTGTCAATGGAATCCAGAATTCTAATGCGTGGAATACACTTAACATAGTTACAATCATCTGTCTCAATGATTCATCTTTCCTAGTTATTACTCTACATACGTATCGAACTCGAGGCAAGCATGAATAGGGGTTATTCTCAAATACACGATTATTCTCAACAATCACCACATGATTATTCTCATAATATACCATGTAATCATATCATAATCACCATGGGTGGATATTACAAATACCATGCGATTTTATCACAATCACAATATATAACAATGTGTTTCAATACAAGCTAATTCAATTCTCAATTGGATCATCGTACCGAACTTGCACTGAAAGGAATTCACCAAGCCCTTTCCACCATATATGGTTAATGGATACCATACATCCACTATATGGATTTCATCATCCAATAGATATTGTCAATGGAATCCAGAACTCTAATGCGTGGAATACACTTAACATAGTTACAATCATCTGTCTCAATGATTCATCTTTCCTAGTTATTACTCTACATACGTATCAAACTCGAGGCAAACATGAATAGGGGTTATTCTCAAATACACGATTATTCTCAACAATCACCACATGATTATTCTCATAATATACCATGTAATCATATCATAATCACCATGGGTGGATATTACAAATACCATGCGATTTTATCACAATCACAATATATAACAATGTGTTTCCATACAAGCTAATTCAATTCTCAATTGGATCATTGTTAACCATCCATGCCATCTGTCACTATTCGTAAATGGAACGATCCATCTCTAGCAACTACTCACTAATGGATGCACACCAAGGCACCTCTTACATTCGAGCATTTCAACCTAAGTTATTTACCATAACCTAAGTTATATTTCTAAATCATTCACATAGTCATAAACCTAGGTGTAACCTCACTTATCATCATAGGTTTTAATCAATCATCATACAATCAACACAACCAATTAAATTATAACATGGTTCAAAAAACACAAATACATCTTAATATGGTTCATAATACACATAATATTTCATCACCAAATAGGGCTTTCATCTCTCTCTCTCTCTCTCTCTCTCTCACTCACTCACTCAAACACACACACACACATACACATACACACACACACACACACACACACACACACACACACACGTGCACACACACACACACACACACACACACACACACACACACACATACACACACACACACATGCGCACGCACGGGCACACACAACACACAAGTTCATAAAAATATCCAATTAACAATTGGAACACAATCATGGTTTTATCTTTACCAAATGGTATAACATAGAAATATCTTTCCAATGTACCCGACCACACGCCAATCAGAGTTACGAATCCCATTTTATGGTGAAAATAGGGAAACAAGTCATAAGCATACA